CTCTTCTTCTCTTCTCTTCCATTCATTTTTGTAATCTATTCTGCATTCTGTTCTATATTCTACCCCATTGTCTCTTCTCTTCTCTTCTCTTCTCTTCTCTTCTCTTCTCTTCTCTTCTCTTCTCTTCTCTTCTCCTCTCCTCTCCTCTCCTCTCCTCTCCTCTCCTCTCCTCTCTTTTCTCTTCTCTTCTCCTAACAGCCAAGTTCAGGCAGTATTAGGATCCCTAAAACTCAGTCTCCTGGTGTTTGGCCTAAAGTCACCCAGCTGGCTTTGGTACCTAATGCAGGACTAGAACTCACAGTCTCCTGGTTTGGCCCAAAGTCACCCAGCCGACTTCCATGCCTAAGGTGGGACTAGAAGTCACCGTCTTCCAGTTTCTAGCTGGATTCCTTAACCACTAGACCCAACTGCATGCTTCCCACTGCAAAACGACCACCGCAGAACCGGTGCTATTTTGTTCACAGCATCCTTCTCTCTTCTCTGCCTGCTTAGATGAAATGAGGTCAGGCTTTTCTTCTTCTTTTAATCTTTTCTCTCTTTTTTCCCCCCCTGCTTGTCCTCAGAAGCCCACAGACATCGCTCTTGCTTCTCCTTGTTGTTCCCCAGCATTTAAAAAAAAAAAAAAAAGATGATGATGATTTTTGGCTTTGGTTGCTTGCTTTCAAACCTTTCAATCTCTCCTGCAAAGCAGGGAAGTTCAGCTGTTTGCTTCGGATGAATTGAATTCCCGGGTGGGCAGACTGTGCACTGGAGATCCCCCTCTCCTCCCACCTCCATCCCCCCCTACCCCCTCCCCAAAAAAGCTAAGTGGAATGGTAAGAGGAGTCAGAAAAGACAGCTGACAGAGAAGAAGAAGAAGGTAAACAACAAGTTGCCGGTGCCGCATTCGTTCAATGACCCACATGGAAATCGAGAGTCTGGCTTTGCCCAGAGCAGCGCAAACAAGACTGTTTTGTGTCCAAGGTTTTAATGGCTCATTAAAGTGCAAATATTAGTAGAAGAGCCATTTACAACATTTGCTAGCTGGTGAAAATCTTGCCATCTCTTGCCTGGTCCTGAAGCTTGGAATGAGACGGGTGGGTGGGTGGGTGGGTGGAATAATAATAAGCGATATATGTCTTAAATGCTATTGCTATTCACGAACGTGTCAAGGAAGGGTCCCCCTCAACAACATAAATTGGGGGCTTAATTGTGGTTGTACATAGACTACCTGTAACTGTTGGAAAATTAGGTATTTTTCATAGAAACATCTCCACGGCGTGTTTTTTTTTTTTTAAGCTATTCTGAAACCTCACTTGACTGCCACTGCAGCCTTTTGATAGAGGCAGGTGGGCGGATGAATGGATGGAGACAAGCGAGCCGGAGGATACAAGGCGGTGTTTGAACTCAGCGGGAGTTTCAAAGAGTCCGTGATGAGGACATTGCACAATCCAGGTTTAAACGGGGTCACATGGATGTGGCTAATCCTGTCCCCTATCATCATCCTTTTCAGCCATCAGTTCTTTCCTGCTTCCTTCATTTATGTGCTGAAGGCATACATTTGGTAGAGGCATCCCATCAAAATGGAGAAGGGATTAAAAGGGCAGTATGAAGAAATAGCCGTGTCTGGGAACAAGGCCAGGGTGTAATTGAAACGAGACTCTGAACCAATAAATCCATCTTCAGAACTGCCGATCCTTTAGATGAGGGCTGTCCATCCTTGGCAACTATAAGATCTGTGGACTTCAACTCCCAGAATTCTGCAGTCAGCCATAGCTGGCTAGGGAATTCTGGGAGTTGAAATCCACAAGTATTAAAAGTTGCCAAGGTTGGTACATCCCTGCCTTCAATTATTACGAACACAATTGTGGCTAAGGGTGATACGTCAGTTTTATCTCATTTTATGGCCTTTCTTGCCATCACCATGAATCACTGCAGTTGCTTTTTATTCTATTTCTATTCTATTCTGTTATTCTATTCTTTCATAATTCTATTCCATTCCATTCATTATTTCTGTTCTATTCTATTCTTTCTCATTCTATTATATTCCATTCTATTCTCTTTATAATCTATTCTATTGTTTCTCATTCTATTCTATTGTTTCTCATCTATTCTATTCTTTCATTCTCATTCTATTCTATTTCTAATCTATTCTTTCTCATTCTATTCTCTAATATATTCTATTCTATTGTTTCTTTCTATTCTTTCTCATTCTATTCTATTCTTTCTAATCTGTTCTATTCTATTGTTTCTCGTTCTATTCTTTCTCATTCTATTCTTTCTCATTCTATTCTAATTCAATTCCTATTCCTATTCTATTTCTATTCCATTCCATTCCATTCTTTCATATTTCTACTCTACTCTACTCTATTCTCCTATTGGCTTTACTTGTCAGAAGGTTGCCAAAGGGGATCGTGTAACCCCTGGACGCTGCAACCTGTCATAAATATGAGTCAGTTGCCAAGCGCCTGAGTTTTGATCCCGTGACCTTGGCGAAATGAAGGATTGCAAGTCAAGGGTGACCTGTACAATCTTTGCTAATGGTATGAAGGAAAAAAACAAAAAACAAAAGACAAGAGAGAGAGACGACAAACACCGGGCAGCTTGAAAAACAGCGGAGACTTTAATAAAAAGAGAGAAACCGTCTAGCGGGAGTATTGTACAAACATTATATTTCAAAACTGCCAAAGTTCAAAGGGCTAGAAGCCAAACCGAAAGGGATCGTAGTTAGAATGGCATGTATGCCCCGCATGATGAGATAGATATATACTGTGTGTGTGTGTGTGTGTGTGTGTGTGTGTGTATAAAACCTATATATATATATGTTTTCTGAGGTTCTCGCGGGTATTTGTATGTGGATCTTTGGTTATTCGGGTTTTCTCC